CAGCCTCCTGAGTCGCTGGGATTACAGCCATGCACTATCATGCCCAGCTAATTTTTTTTTTTGTATTTTTAGTAGAGACGGAGTTTCACCATGTTGACCAGGATGGTCTCGATCTCTTGACCTCGTGATCCACCCGCCTCGGCCTCCCACAGTGCTGGGATTACAGGCTTGAGCCACTGCGCCCGGCCTAAGATGTTAACTCTTCAAAAAATCATGAAAATTGAAAACTCATGTATAGCTTGAACCAAATAAAAAACTGCCAATATTTGACAATTTTTAAACTTTTTAAAAATGACAATTTGATATGGTACAACAAAATTTATGGTTCTTTTGACCTGGGGGTTCAGTGGGAAGAATAAAAATTTGAACTCTGCAAATAGCTGAGGGACAGCTGAACCTCCATTATCCAAGTCAAAGGAGGTTCCCCAAATAGCCTAACCCAATGGAAACCTCTGCTTTTTGCTTCCTACTAATTCAAGATCCAGGGGCACCGAGGAGAAAACATTATTTTAATGTCCCATGACTCCAACTAGATTGACAAGTTCCCAACTTCGCGATTGTCTGTACTTCATTAGAATTCCTACAAGGAAAAAAAACAGATATAACTCACTTAAAATTAAAGAAAAAGAATTTTCCTTAAAGCCATGGCTCACAAATTTGTTTATCTTAGCTCATAGATCACCAACTCCCCACTCTCTGCTCACATCACCACAGGCACCCACGGTTATCACCTCTTTTAAAAAAAATAGAATTTCCTTGTTCCTTTATGACTAAGAAGGTAAGTAAAGCATAGTTTAGACAATGAGTGTATATGGGAAAGCACCAGTTAAAGAAATAAAGGAATATTCCAACGTCATATCTTCCAAATAAGGAAGCTCATATTTATATGAGCTAAGTTAAGCGAGGTAATAATAAAAATTTGGCGAAGTGCAATGGCTCACGCCTATCATCCCAGCACTTCGGGAGGCCAAGGTAGGCGGATCACTTGAGGTCAGGAGTTCAAGACCAGCCTAGCCAACATGGCGAAACCCTGTCTCTACTAAAAATACAAAATTTCACTGGGCATGGTGGCTAGCACCTGTAATCCCAGCTATCTGGGGGACTGAGGCAGGAGAATTGCTTGAATCCAGGAGGCAGAGGTTGTAGTGGGGCCAGATTGTGCCACTGCTCTCCAGCCTAGATGACAGAACAAGACATCGTTTTTTTTAAAAAAAAAAAAAAAAAAGAAAGAAAGAAAGGAAGGAACTAAATTATTTAAGAGAAAACAGAAACTGACCTCTGTGACATAAAAATAATAGAAGAAAAACTTTTTAAAAAATCACAATTGGCTGCCTTCCTCCTACGTCTGAGTGAAAAAAAATGCCAAAGTGGGCGTATCAAACTTCCTGCTTTGCCAGTTGCACTTACATAGATACTTTGAGCCTAGCATGATGCATGAGAATATATCAACATTTTAATATAGTAATAATATTATTACTATTCCTAAACCAAGGAGTAAGAAGATAAAAAGGGGAAATGCCCCACATTTGTAAGTGAATACGTATGAAATAAATTAACAAAGAAAATAACCTTAGTTAATTCTAAACACCACTAAAGCAGCATGGTTTTCTATGGTCATCCTAGCTAGACCTAGATTTTTATTTTCATTTTATTTATTTTTATTTATGTTGATTGATTGATTGATTGATTGAGACAGGGTCTCTATCTGTCACCCAGGGTGGAGCACAGTGACAAGACTATGGCTCACTGCAGCCTAGGCAACCTGGGCTCAAGCGATCCTCCTGCCTCAGCCTCCCAAGTAGCTGGGACTACAGGCACACACCACCATGCCCAGCTAATTTTTTTCATTTTTCATAGAAACAGGATCTCACTGTTACCCAGGCTGGACTTGAACTCCTGGGCTCAAGCCATCCTCCCACCTCGGCCTCCCAAAATGCTATGATTACAGGCATGGGCCATTGTACCTAGCCTTGAGTTTAGATTTTTCATCCCAATCTCTCCCTGGTCTTCGCAGACACAAATATCAAATCAACATATCTGTTATGAGTAGATTGGGCTGCAAGTGATTTAAAGCACACACACACACACACACACACACACACACACACACGAACAAAATAGAAGTTTAAGAGCCTACAGCAGGCAATTCGGAGCTGGTCTGGCAGTGCCTAGAAGTCCTCAGGAACCCTGCCTACTTTTTCGCATGGCCATACCTCCAGTCAGGAGGCAGAAGAGGCTGACTTTATTCCAGGCAGCTCTGTGCCCACCCTAGAACAGAGGGGATGAATGTCGGGTAGGAAATAGATGTCTCTACTGTAACCAAATTCTACCAAACACATTAAAAGAAGCCAATACCTCCACAAATCTTCCATTTATTTGCTTATTCACAAATGTTAACTAATTTCACACCATATGCAGGCATCTTGCTCAATGAACACAGAAAAGCAAGAGAGCTTGAACAAACTAGACAAGGTCCTGCCCTCACAGAGCGTCCACTGAGTGAAACAGATGTGAAAAAATCAGGGTACATCACATCTCTTGGGGACAAAAAGAGGGAGAAGTTAATTTGACTTTGAGGTGGGGATGGTTATAAAAAGCTTCCTGTAACCTTTCTTACTGTTATTAAGCAACACACACAAGAAAAAAGAAATTCATGTGATAACAAATCAGAAATAGATTTTGTCACTGCTGTAACAACACTGAAGTGAATTCTCTGTAGTGACTATTTAACCATAAGCCACAATGCAGTTCGCACTATGCTGCTTAATGTGGTAAACAAAGTTCAGCCAAGGATCTTTTGCTGGAGGGAATAGCTTGTCCAGTTAGAAAGCTTCTTTTGTTTCTGAAAGCTACTAAAAACCCAAGCCCTTCAAGTCATTTTTGCAACTCTGAGGGAACAATTATGTTTTCGTGCACAGACTTTAAAGAAAGCATTTTACAGAGAAAAATCTTGCTAGTGGACAGGGAGAATGGCACCTTGCCCAGGTTATTTATAAAGATGCAGGACTGAGTGGATGTGATAACTCCAGCCACTTAGTCACAGAGGCACATAGGTTATGAAATGCCAACAGCAGGGCAGGCTTCTTGTATGAATTAGAAGTTTTGCGAGGCCACAGTGGAGAGAACCCTGGGAAGGCTAAACTAGCCACATCTAGGTTGGTTCTGTGCATCTGGTGAGCAAGAATAAAATGAAATCCCTTGAGGAAAAAAGAAGGCAATGTATTCACCAGAAAAGTCATAGTTAAATGTAGAGGTCAAAAAATAAAAGGAAAGGAATGAGGCCAGGGGCACTAAGCTTACCTGCATTCACAAAAAATACTACATGATTTGTGATTTACTTGGCAGCTGGGGTGGATGGCAGAGGAAGTCAAGGGCAAGCAAACCCCTTCTCTTGGTCTGCTCCTTACACAGGGCAAACATGAGAATAAAAACTCACTGAGTTGTTGCTGCAAATTCTATGGTCTAAAAGCTATAGAAAATTGTATAGAAAATTGTCTGATGCTTTTTATTTAAAAGTCTTTATTTTTTCTTTGAGATGGGGTCTCACTCTGTCACCTAGGCTGGAGTGCAGTGGTGTGATCTCAGCTCACTGCCATGTGCCGGGTTCAAGTGATTCTCGGACTTCAGCCCTCCAGGTGCATAGCACCACAACCAGCTCATTTTCGTTTTGCATTTTTAATAGAGACAGAGTTTCACCATGTTGGCCAGGCTGGTCTCGAACTCCTGACCTCAGGTGATCCACCTGCCTCAGCCTCCCAAAGTGCTGGGATTATAGACTGCACCCAGCCAATCTCTCTCTCTCTCTCTCTTTTTTTTTTCATTTCAGGATGTTAAAATCACTTGATCACTCTCTTCGAGGCATCTGAAATCTGGATTTAAAATACCAGGAAACATTACAATGATTTCACATAATTTTTTTAGGTTGAAACAAATTGTTCCTTCAAGGAAGAAAAAAAAATCTTCAATGAATCTTGTTAATTGTTTTTCTCTTTTTTTCTTTTTTGACATGTGGCCAAATATAAACATTTTTCTTTTTATTTATTTATTCACTTATTTTCAGAGACAGCATCTCACTCTGTTACCCAGGCTGGAGTGCACCACATCTGGATCACCTGAAGTCAGGAGTTCGAGACCAGCCTAGCCAACATGATGAAACCTGTCTCTACTAAAAATACAAAAATTAGCCAGGCATAGTGGCATGCACCTGTAATCCCAGCTACCTGAGAGGCTGAGGCAGGAGAATCGCTTGAACCCAGGAGGCGAAGGTTACAGTGAGCTAAGATTGTGCCACTACATTCCAGCCTGGGCATAGCTCACTGCAACCTTGAATTCCTGAGCTCAAGTGATCCTCTCACCTCAGTCTCCCAAGTAGTTGAGACTACAGGCATGTATCGCCACATCTGGCTAATTTGTTTACTTTTTGTAGATACAGGGTCTTGCTATGTTGCCCAAGCTAGTCTTCAACTCCTGACCTCAAGCGATCCTTCCAAAGCATTGGGATTATAGGTATGAGCCACCATGCCAGCTGTTATTTTTTCTTTTTTTTTTAATTAAAGCTGTAATACTGAAGGATGTAGTATAAAACTAACATCTGATTCTCTAAGCTTCTCCAGTACAAAATAGGAGCAAGTTGATGTTCCTTTATACCATTCTCAGAAAAGTTAAGGCAATGTGTCCTCTAGGCCCCAAAAAAGGGCACAGGGCACAGAGCATGTAAATCTTCTCTCCCCGGCCCTCTTTGAGATTGTGAGCACAGCACGCCTTCCTAGCTCACAGCTGAATGTTTTCATGTTAGAAGCACACTCAATGACCCACTAAATAGGATCAAATAGGTCATTTCATTCAGGAGATTTTCACAGGTGAAAAGTCAAGGAATTTAAATACTCAGTGAACAATTTGAGTTCACCAGTTCAAAACAGAAGTTCAAACTCAACTAGAAGAGGTGTCCTTGTACAGTGGTCCAACTCACTGCAATCCAAGACCAATCCGTTCTAGCAAAGGCTCTTGGGTCTGTAGGCTGGCAAAATATGCCACCTCAAAATAGGACACTTTGACATAAGGATTATTTTGAACTGAAGGCAATTGAAATAAACAAACACAAGAAAAGCTCTCTGCCCTCCCCATCTTAGACATAAATTTACAAATATTTCCTTCCTCCCTTCTCTATCAGGAAGAAAAAAAGTTAATCACTGGAGACAACTTTAGACCGTTACCTGACTGGAGACGGCACCAGAGGAACCTATGAAGCAAACTACTAACAGCCCTTTATCTGCCATTGAGTTCCCATATCTTTGTCTTCCCACAGTTTGTTGCCTCTAGAGACTCAGGTCCTTTTCCTTTGTCTTGTCACTTCTCTAAAATATGTATTGGGGCCGGGCACAGTGGCTCACGCCTGTAGTCCCAGCACTCTGGGAGGCTGAGGTGGGCAGATCACCTGAGGTCAGGAATTAGAGACCAGCCTGGCCAACATGATGAAATCTTGTGTCTACTAAAAATACAAAAGTTAGCTGAGCATGATGGCATGTACCTGTAATGCCAGCTACTCAGGAGGCTGAGGCAGGAGAATTGCTTCAGCCTGGGAGATGGAGTTTGCAGTGAGCCAAGGTCATGCCATTGCACTCCAGCCTAGGCAACAAGAGTGAAACTCTGTCTCAAAAAAAAAAAATGTATTAGTCCTTTGCTAAAATGCAATAAGCTCATGTTCCAACCAAACCTTTGAGTTTATTCATCTCTGAATATTCCCGCATGTAATTGCTGTGCACATGCTAATACAATTGTTTGTTTTTCTTTCATTAATCTGTCTATGTCAGTCCAGTGCATAGGGGCCCAGCCAGAGAAACTAGAAAGGTAGTCAGAAAAAAGAATTTGGTCCCTTTCAAAAGTTCTGGACTAGGACTTTCTTGAGGAGCTCTGCTATCATTAGAGGCAGCTCTAGAGATCCTACGATAGCTCCAGTGGCTCAGCCTATAGACTCAAGTTACAGCCCCATCTCCTTTCTCTGCTAATCCAGGCAAGTGTCTACTTGCTCAATCCCTGGGCCTGCCAAATGGGGGCCTAACATCCAGACTATGTGGTTTCCTCTAGATCCTGTTTACTGAAGAAGTACTCTCTGAATCAGGGTGACCCATCAGTCCAGATCACTGAGCCTCTCTTAATTAGAGTGCCGTCCCTTAATTAGAGTGCTGGTCTAGCAGGCCTAGACCAGCTCCACACAGAAAGCAGGGAGCTGTAAGAGCTTCTAGCAACACCATCTATTATATTATACACAGAAAGTTTTCACGTTTGATACTGCATTTGTTCTTACTTCACAACTGTTTGGGGAGAGCAGTGTGGTAAGTAAGAGTATGGCCATTTTACAGAAGAGGATGCTAGGCCTTAGAAGAGATGTGGCTGGCCAGGCGCAGTGGCTCATGCCTGTAATCCCAGCACTTTGAGAGGCCAAGGCAGGCTTGGTCACTTGAGGTCGGGAGTTTGAGACCAGCCTGGCCAACATGGTGAAACCTCGTCTCTACTAAAAATACAAAAATTAGTTGGGCATGGTGGCACATGCCTGTAATCCCAGCTACCCAGGAGGCTGAGGCGGGAGAATCACTTAAACCCAGGAGGCAGAGGCTGCAGTGAGGCAAGATCACACCACTGCACTCCAGCCTGGGCAACAGAGTGAGACTCGTCTCAAAAACAACAAAAAGAAGAGATGTGGCTTTCCCAGTGTTTCCTGGCTGAGAGTTGGGAATCAAATGCAGGTCTCCTGACAGCCCTGGTGCCATAGACTAAGAATCCGCTGAGCCAGAGCATAGCAAATGGCGAAGAGGCCATGCTGAAGGAAGCTCATGCCCTCGGCACCAGCCTCCCCGACCCGTTCCACTTCCCCTTTCTCAGTACTATATTTTCCATCCACTCTTTCCATCCTGCCTGTTGGCTCCCCACAGCGTTTCCTATCTTTGCCAACCCTATCTCTGTCTTGTTTGTCCAAATTTACCTCTTCCACCTCCTACTCTTTTCTTAACAATTTTGAAATTTTCCCTGACTGGTTGCCTTTGGGCACTGATGACTTCTATTTTTTACTAAGGGATCAGGGATGGATAGGTATGAGCTCCCGGGAATAGTGGTGAAGCCTAAATG